CGACAGCCTCAGCGGCAGCTTCCTGGTGATGGGCCGCAAGGTGGGCGGCCGCCTGCTCCTCCTCGCCATCTACCCCTGGCAGAAGCACAACAAGGAGATGAAGTTCGCCGTCAAGTTCATGTTATCCTACCCCTGCCCCCTCTACCACCCCCTGCTCTATGGGGCCGGGCAGCACTAGGGCTCTGCCCACCCTGCCCTGTCCCAGGACTGCTGCACTGGCCCAACGCTGCACCCCTGGCACCCCAGCTGCACCCCTGGCATCCCTGGTTGCACCCCAGGATGCCAGCTCTGCTCCCCTCAGCCCCTTGGCTGTGCCCCTGCTCTGCACCCCCAGGATTCCCAGCTGCATTCATGGGAGCCTTGATCCACAGCCAGGACCCCTGCCCATGCCCAGGAGCTTGGGCTGCACCCAGGACCCTTGCTCTGCATGCTTATGAGCCCTGCTCTGCACCAGAGACACTTGGCTACCCCCAAGCCCCCTGCCCGGCACCCCAGGGACCCTTGCCTGCACTTAGGATCTCTGCTTGGCCCTCTTGGGACCCCTTGGCTGCACCTGAGACCCCTACCCTGCACCCCTGTGTCCCCTGCCTAGCCCCCTGATGACATGCCCCAGACCCTCAGCCCCACAGATCAGATCATCCCATGCCGCCACCCCAAGCTTGTGCCCCAGCCCTGGGTCATCCCACCTGTGCAGGGACCCACTCCAGCCAAGGCTCCTGCCCCTCTGTCCCCACAGACTTCCCGTTCCCCCCCCAAGACCAAGTGCCCGGAGCAGCATGTCCCCTGCCTGGGCTCCCCCACCCTTTCCAAACCAGATGGCTTAATGCAGGGGTCCACCTCCAAGCCCCCTAGACCAGCTTTGCTGCATCGCCCACCCACACCAAGACCCAGCCCAGGCACCCCTTGCCCGAGCACACCGCAGTAAATTATTCCACCTCAGAAAAGCCTGTGTCCAGCTCCCTGTGGTTCATGGGCAACCACCCCTTGGGGCTCCCTCAGAGACCCCGGGAAGGGTGGGAGGGAGCTCCCAGTCCTACCCACTGAGTGGGGCAGCCTGGGGGAGCTGGGGCAGCCTGGGCTCCGGCTCTAGCCCTGCTCCAGGCATCGTGCCCAGAGCCTGCCAAGCCAAGGGACAAGGTTCCCAAGGGGCGCAGGCATCGCTGGAGACTCAGGCATCCCTGCCACCTCTGCGCCACCCCAGGGAGCCTGGGAGGGTGGCGAGATGGGGAGGATGGGTGGGGACAGGGGCATCACTGCTGCTAGAAGCCCCACAGCGGGGTCTGAGGGTGTTTGCCAGAGAGGTTTCTCCCTCCATCACCCCCGGGGGACAGATCTGCAGGCTGGTAGTTGCCAGCACATGTGGGGAGCCTGGCGCTGAGCATAGCTGGGGGCAGATCCTGGGCCAGGATCCCTGGGCACCTCACCTCCACACCACCTGAAAGCCCTGTCTGCAGCTCCCAGCCAGCCCTGCCTGGCCGCGAGTCCTCCCACCCCACAACCTCCAGCCTCCTCCCAAAAGGTTCACTGGAGTCACCCACCTGCACCAGCCAGGAACCCCCAGCAGCACCGGGACCAGGGCAGCCCTCAGCCTGGCCCCTCTGATAGCAGCAGGGTGCTGCTCCGCCGCTCAGCTCCCCCAGCCCCGCAGTAGGGGCTGCCTCTGCCCCAGCAGCCCCGAGGTCCCAGGAGGCAAGGGGGGCAGCCTACCTGCCCCTGTCCCACTCCAGCCCTGTTTACCCAGCGCATTCTTGCGTCCGCCCATCCCGCTGGGATATTTACCCAGCGCCTGGCTGCCTGACACTGCGGCTTCTCACCGGAGCTGGCCCTGTGGCAGGGGAGCCTCCCGGGACAAGAGGGGAATTGAGGCTGCGGGATGCCTGCGCCCACCCTCCTCCTGGCTGATGAGGCCACCAGGCACCTGCCCTGTGCCAGGGTGATCCCTGCTCCCTCTGCCCCCCCTTGGGCATGAGCCTCAGCCCCACTAGCCGCCCCCCACCTCCCAGAGCCCCAAAGGGGCATCCCGCTCCAGCCAGGGGGACGTGCCCCTGCCCCACAGCTGGCCAGCCCGGGACCCGGGGCCCCCCGCCCCCTGCCACAGCCTCACACCAGGGTCAGGCGGTTACTGCCCCCACCCTCCACTCTGGCCCATGTTCAGCGTGAGGTCGCTGAGCATGCTGCCGTAGGAATAAACATCGCAAATTATGTCATTTTACTGCAAAACTTAAAAGTGCACAAATAAAACCCCATCTCCCACAGCCCAAGTTTATCTGTAGCCCTCTGTATTTTGCATCATTAGCATCTTTCCAGGGAGCATTTAGACATACATGGCGACCGCACTCATCGCTCCAAGTGTTTTCTCTGGAAAGATAAATAACTTCTCTCTGCCTCCCACCATTGGCCATCTGAGCTCTACAGCTCAACCCCCCCAGCCCCTCGCAGACCGGTACTCGCCCCATTGCAGATACGCCCTCACCCACAGACACGACCCCACAGCTCTTGGGGTGCTACACAGCCCCCTCCCCAATGTTACAGCTGCTCCACTGCCCCCAGTAACTGCTGAGCCCTCTGCATGCCAGGCCCCCCGCACACCCCAGCCTTGGAGCACACCCAGCACAGCTCAAACACCCTCATCATCACTGCCAAGTCCAGCTTTTCCCTTTCCCCAAACTTCCATAGGGCACAGCTTGAGGAAGGGGTTTATGAGCCCACGGCCGAGAGGGGGGCTTAGGCTGCCCCCAGAGCTGCCCCATGTGAGCTCCCACGCTGGTGGGGTGTACAACCAGCAGCGAGATCTGGGCCCCCAGTGCCTTCCCAGGCTGGTGGGTGCTGTGGCCCGGCGGGCACTGGGCAATGCCAGCCCGAGAGCACCGACCCCCCCCGGGGGCGGGGGCCGGGGGAGCTGCAGCTGGGCCAGCCGTGGCAGTTCCCAGCTGCACAGCAGCCAGGGTCACATTCCTGGGATAGCTGGGAGCTTTGCTGTTCACACAGGGAAAGGTCACCCTTGTGCGCCGGGACCACCGCCTAGGCAGGGCAGGGGAAGGAGCAGCCCCAGGAGGCAGAGAGGAAGCCCAGCAGCTCCCGCCAGGGCTGAGCTTCTCCCTGGCTCCAGCCCAGCGGGATCCAGCTCTGGCACAGCCAAGGACAGGCAGCTGCACACAGCCCTGAGCAGGGGGCAAACAAGGCCACAGCATGACGGAAGATGGAAACCCCAGTAAGCAAGGAGAGCTGGTGGCAGAGACAGACCATTTCTCCGTGACCACCTGCAGGACAGCAGGGCCAAGGCCACATAGGTGCCGGCGTGACCTGGGACAGCTTTCAGCGGGGCAAGACAAGAGCCAGCTGAGGGCAAGAGATTTATTGGCCATTCTCTATATACACATATATTAATCTGTAGTAGAAAGCAGCAGTCACTAAGTGCACAGAGCAGCACCAACTCATGCCTCCTCTCACGCTGCAGCTGGAGACCCGGCCACACAGCCCAGCCCACACTTACCCTCTTGCCTCCTCTGCACTACAGCCAAATACAGGGGGGGAAAGACTAAACCTGCAGGCAGCGAGGCCAAGGAGCACAGGAGTGACTAGCAGCGTCTCAGCTGAGCCAGGACCAAAGACCACATCTCCTGGGGATGCAGGTAGAGCTCTGACTTGACCCCAAAAATACAGTCACCTAGCACAGTGCTGGGAAAGGTAAGGACAGAGCCCCGAGGTGGTTCTGCGCCACCCAGGAGGTGGAGGTAGGACCACAAGTGGGAAGGATGGTTCCTCCATCACTGAGCCAGGCCACGGGGCCTGGGCAAGTACGTGGCAGGGCATAATGAGTGCCAGGGAGTGCCCAGGGCTTGGAGCAGCTGCCAGGGGGCAGCTGCAGGAATGGGGCACAGCTGTGAGCAATGCTCTGCCACAGGGACCCAGCTGGTGCAGCAGATGCTGCGTGGCAAGGAGGGCTGGTCTGCTCCCAGCCTGGCGCTGGCAAGCGGAGCAGCAAGCCCAAGCATCCTCTGGCAGGGTGACACCACGCTGGGAACCAAGCAGCCCAGGCTCGTGGCTGCAAGGGCACCCACTGTCCCAGGTGTCAGGCAGTGCAGGACACAGGAGCTGGCTGGGCCTGTTTCAGTCACTTGATGAGCACCTGGTTGCACAGAGCACACACGAACACTGTCTCCCTCTGAGCCTCCGGGGCTGGAAAGGAAAGCAGGTGTCAGAGGTGCTCCCCTTCCCCACCACGGGCTAGGGACCCCAGCCACGGAACTGCTCCAAGAGCTGCAAACCCATCACCGCCCTGTCCCGAGCCAGGCTGTGCTGGGCGGGTCCTGTCTACCCTCCCCACAAGGTCTGGGGCAAACCCTGCAGCAGACAGCACAAGTGGCAGCAGGAGCTCTGCCCTCCTCCACCTTTCCACTCACCCGTGGCTCCCATCACAGCCTTGGGGACTTTGAAGGAACAACACCTGGAGCAGAAGCTGTTCCCACAGTTACTGCAGCTCCGCTGTGGAGAGAGATGGAGGTGAGACACTACTCTGGCCCACTCCCAGCCCTCCCCGGCAAACTCCACTGCCAGAGCACGGCTAACAGTACTCCCTGCTGAAGGGGAGCGGGTGCAAGCCCTGACCGCAACAGCAGAGGGGTCATCTGCCAACAACACCTGGACAAACTGCCCAGGCCTAATGCTGGATCTGCATTCAAGTATGCTCTAACATCACAAGCAGCCTGTGCCCAGTCTGAGAAGGCACTGGGAGCACAGGCTCCAGGAGGTTTAAGAACACTGTATCACTTCCTATGCTGTAACCCTGGAGGGAGGCAAGCTCCAGAGAGTCCCAGACATATATCAGACTAACCCAGGAGTAAGGGGAGGGGGCCACGAGTCTGGAGAACGGGAGGCAGCAGGAAGACAGCAACGTGAGTCTGGGGGGGGGACAAGAGAGAGATCCTTCCCAGAACCACCCAGGGGACTGTGCACCAAGCATCACACGCAGGGGCTCAGATAAAGGCTACCCCTGTTGTCTTGCTCCTCTAGTTCCCACAAGCAGACCCATGCTCTGCTTCACCAGAAAGCTCTCAGGCCACAGGAAATGGGCTAAACCGGGCACAGAGCAGGTGCCTTCTACACCAGCACACACGGGTTTGGCCTGTGGCAGCTTCCAAAGGAGCAAATAGACAAAGGCTCTACAGCACAAGGGAT